TTCAGGGCTTAGGGATTTAGAGGTTCTCCAACAAAAGCCCCCCCAGACAATCCTTAAGTGAAGCATGATAATTCCTGCATATTAGCTATGTATCCCTAGGGTCCCTAATGGCTCCCTTGTGTGGGAAAGTCCCAGATGGGCATAGGACATCAGATGCGCAAGCAAATTGATAATCAAGCAGAATCTGAGGTATAACTACAGTGTATATCATATGTAGAGAGAGAGAGAGAGAGGGTTTAGGGCTTGGTGTTTCGCCGGCTACTTACTCGAATCTAGAATGGAAACCCAGATGCAAAGGCAAGCAGGGAATTAGAAAGGGCGTTGTGGATTCAGACTTTGGGGTTCACTTTCCGATTGTTAAGCCAGACAGGAATAAGACGTGGAAAGCATGGAAGCTGGGGTTTCTAGGATATGGTGGATCTAGTGTTTGGGATGCGCTTGCTGGTTGAGAGAAAGGAAAATCAAACAGGAGAAACAAATGGAAAATAAAATGGAATCTGGAGCTTGTAGGGATTAAAAAAAGATGGTGGTTTACACTTGCTGGCTTTTGGTAGAAAATGGAGGCTTGGAAAGGAAAATAAAAACCGCTATTGACATTTTAGCGCTTAGGGAAGGGAACTGGACATTGAAACCGATATAGCGTTGCGGGTCATAGAGGCAGGTATATGCATCCATCCCTACCCCAAACCGTAAAGCCACTACCTGAGAGATTCCAGGGCCTCAGGGTGCATTGAAGCTGCAATTCAGGGTTAAGGTCTTAGGGTTCAGGGGTTGAGCTTGGTGGTCCCCAAAGGGTTATGGAGGCGCCTATGAAGGATTCTATGCTGGTAGCTTTGAGCGACTTCCATGTGTAAGATGATTAGGAATCGTATAAGGCGCGGGTTCTGTTCGTAGTTTCCAGGGCTTAAGGCGTATAAACATTGATGAAATTCTATGGTTTCCTTTCTTGGTATTATGTAGCTCTGGGTTTGGGCTCAGGTTCAGGGATTTGAGCTCCACTTTGGAGGATCTGCTTGGGCTCCGAACCTACTTCCAGCACTAGTTTTGATGGACGAATTACTTCACCCCGAGTCAGCAAATTTGGGCCAATGTCGTCCTCCATCAATCCTGAACCCTGAGCGCTCATCCCGTCTAGACCCTAAACCCTGAACCCTAAGCCATGAACCGCGAAACCCTTTAACCCTGAAGAGCGCGATACAGAGATTCTTCGCCTCCAGGTCAGGAACTGCGTTCTCCTTCTTCACAAGGCCGCTGCGAAGAAGTTCACTGACACTAATTGGCTAAATCTCAATAGGTAGGTGGGCTAGTCCTAGTAATCCTCTCCGGTAGTAAAGAGCCCCTATTCTCCTTTAGTAGGTATTATCAGTGTAGTGCCGCTGTGTAGATTGTGGGGTGGATGTTTCTTAAGGGGGTGGCGGTATTATTCATGCAAGATTTCGCGCATCCACCGAAGCATCCCTGAAGGAGGGAGGGCGTAAGGTTGTGATGTGTATTGAGCTTCCATACATTGTGAAACAAGTCTGGGTCGAAGTTATGGGATGATGTTTTCAGTGTTCCCTAGGCTGGCATGCGGGATTAGGGGAAGATTTTGGGCTGTCTTCTGTGGGGGTAGAAGGTCAAACCCACATCTTTTTTGGAGTGCATCTTGAAGCATCATCTTGGCTTTGCTGGCTCTCAATTTGCTAGGGATCCCCTTAACCGTGTGAGGCCTACAGCCTCGAACAAATTCAAGGGTTCCAAGATTGTAGCCCCAAGGTCGTACACTTGCAAGGTTCCTTCAACATAGCCCCAGAAGAGCCCTTCCGAAAGGACTGCTGCGAGGTGGAGTTGTTCGAATCCTTAAGCATGTTTAAACTATCCAAGACCTCCGCCTCACAACAGCCGCCTCTCCTGAAATTATTTGAGCCCTCACAGTCTCCCAAGCAGAGCCCCTAAACACTACACCCTGGGACCCTAAAAGAAAGGCATAGCTCAAGCTCTACAGAATCCCACCGCTTGGCCTTCTAAAGCCTTACGCCCTGAATCCTGCAGCTTCTGCCCTTGAAACCCAACACATGAACATTCAAACGCTTCAGCTCTGAAACACAAGCGCTTCACGTACCCACAAGTATGTACCATAAGAGCTTGGAACCATTGCTTTACCCACTTTGGGGCCAAAGTAACTCCAGACAGAAACCCTACACCCTAAGCCCTTAGAGCCTAAACCCGGTGCCTCTTGACAGGAACCTGTCTCCTTTGAGCCGCGATCTGATAACCCTTCTCGAGCGAAGTGGGCAAAAGGTGCCTTGCGGTCGCGCAGGGCTGGTTTAGGGGTAAAGATTTTGAGATTAAGGTTTCGGACGTAGGGGCTGGGCTTAGGAATATGGATTATGTGCCCCTAGAAGAACATGCACCCTGGAAAAACGCCTCGTGCAGAACGACTACTGTAGCTTGGGGAGGCGAAGGGTTGGGGCTTATGGTTAAGGGTAAGGGTCTTGAGTGTCGGGTTTCGGATTCAAGGTTCTGGGCTTAGCTGAAGGGTACCGAGCTACAATGTTGTAGCAGCAATGGTGCACTTGTTTGCACAGGGTCCAGCAGGCTCCATGAGGTTGCATGGGTTGTTCAGACAGGCTTCCGCTAGATTTTATTCTCAATGCTGGGTCCTTGCTTGGGGAAATAGGCGCAAAAAGCTCGATTTTGGTTGGACATATATTTAGCTAAGTTACCCAAAACCAACAAGGAAAGGGCGCTGAACCACCAAGTAAACAGCAGCAAGCAGAGAGGGCTTTGGAGTGCAAATGTATGACAGAGCAGGTTCCTATGGAAGACTTTGGGGCAGCATGCCTTACAGATGCGTACTTTTGCCATCTAAGGGGAATAAAAGGGACTCTGTAATCCCAATCCCCCAAAACTAAGACCGTATTATATTCAGATGAGCTATAGGCGTGTCGACCATGAGGTGTTATTCGTGTCCCTGCTGTTCTTCCTTCACCCCAAGCCATAGCAACCTCGGCATTCCCATTTATCGTAACCCCATCATTCCTAGCTTCGCAAGCCGAAGCTTAGATAAGGGTTTATAGACTTCCGGGTTTAGAGTATTTTCAGTGTAAAAAGAGACCAGCATAAATCATCCAGAATCCCTCAAGTAAGTTTTCCAGTACCTGCGTCAAAATTCTGACATATCCCTAGGATCCCCAGGCAGGTCCATTTTAACGAACTCCCAGTCGCTGATTTCTGCAAGGTGGATCAACACCTCCGTGCGCTTGCTGAAGGCATCATCGTGGGCACTTCAGGTTTCAGGGTTGAAGGTTTACTAGACAAGCGCTGATGGCTTAGGGCTTTAATTCACAGATCTGGTCCAGAGCTCTTAGGGTTCAGCTTTAGGTTTTTGAGGTTGAGGGTTGGGGCGGGTTTGTGAGCAAGGTTTAGGTTTCTGGTCTTTCGGGATGTTCAGCGTTTGCGGTGTCAGGTGTTAGGCCTTGAGGCTGCAAGGCTTTAAGGACTTCTAGTCGGTTTGCAGCCCAAGTTGAAGCTCCCTACGTCCGCCATTAGGGTGGTAATTGGGTAACAACTACAAATATCATTGGGTTACTAAGTGTTCTGAACCTCCACAGGTACCCCGCCTGCATTAACTTTGGACAAAAAAGATACCAGAACAACAGTTGCTCTAGGTACGCCCTTCTCATCCTAAACTTTAAACCCTAAGCCCTGTATCTTAAGCTCATGTGTTCCCCTACCACCAACCATACTATTTCCCTAGTCTCCCCTGAATTAGCCTCAAGTCTCCAACCCTACTGCATAAACGGGGAACCTTGGAGTAGTGTCGGGGGGATGGTAGGGGAACCCATGAAGCCGTAACCTCAAACCCGAAATTCGAGAACCGAAACCCTGAAGCCAAAACCCTATAGTCCCCCTTAAGTAGATAGAATATGCCTTTGGACATATTGTAATAAGATCCCCATATACCCCATATACTATCTACCTCAGGGGGACCATAAACCCCTAACCACAAGAAGAAAAGGCTTCTCATCTCTGGCTCCTGGAAAGGCAAGGCAGCACCCACGGCTGGTTCCACCCTTAGAGCCCAGACGTCCGAAATGCTTGTATGGGGCATGCAGATGGTTCAGGGTGTAGCGTTCAGACCTTAGTTCAGACTATACAGAGTTAAAGATAGATTACGGAATGATATCGTTCTATGGTCCCCAAATGGAACACCATATGAGTACACACACCAATATTCCCAAGCAAGCCTACATACATACAGAAAAAAACAAAAAGACCCTACACTCCGTATAAGTATTTCACATAAAAGAATCTGCTGCGAATCCTGTTGGAATTGGGTATTCATGAAAAGCAGAATCTCGTGCATGAGTTGAACAGATTTTCTATCCAGATTAATTTCTGAATTGGATGTTAACCCATGTAAACTAGATTTTAGTTAGATTTGAATTGATCTGAATCAGGTTTTGATTAGATTTCAATTGGCTTAACTTAGGGGTTTACATGAGGTTTTCATCCAACTTTAACTAGCTGTACATTGACTTCCAGATAACTGTTGACGAGCTCTTATGCTTCGGTTCTGGGATTCCAGTTCTCCCACCATTGAACATGCCTCACATTGGGCCCGAATCACGTATTCCTTGAACTCAGACCCGTTTGCCGTTTTTGGATGTAGGGTTTGGCTTTTTTCGGGGGGTTGACAGTTGTAGACGCTAGACGCGTGCTTCTCATGTTTTAGGCTTTGAGGTTCAGGACTGGCTGCAAATATTCTGTGTCACTGCACGTATGCAGACCTTTCAAAGCCTTGTTGTGAGGGTTGTGCGTAAGTCTGCCTTAGGCTCCCTGCGCCTCAAAGTCGATAGTTCTAAGAATATGTGGATGGGGTCCCGCGCTTGACTAAGCAGCGCAAGCTGCTTGGTAAAATGATTTTGGTAGGCCCCTCAATTGTTTGGGGCTAGACATGATGGCATTTCAAGTACCCGTTGACCCAGCATCCAACTTTCACGTGTCATGACGCCTTCAACCCTATACCTGAAAACCCACAGCCATACATCATTCCACCCGCAATTCAACCATTCTGAACCACTAGCTAACCCTCAACCCGAGACTGTTCGAAGGTTGGAAGTACGGGCTCCTAACATGACCCTTCGCCTGTTGAGGGAGAATTTTAAGACCCTTTACATATACGTATCCATAGTATATATATATACTAGGTGCCTAAATATCCAGTATGAAGGGCCTATAGTAGGGGCAAGTTTTTTACCCGTACGTGCCTGGACCCGCAAAATTCCAGGTAATCTGGCTGCTTTACCGGATCACGGAGATAGATTTGATTGTAATCGTAGATGAACCTTGCTATGAACTTCTGGCAATCCACAATCCTTAAGTAGTTCCTTACCCAGACCCCTAGAATTTGGTAAAGTTATTTTGGAATCCCCTTTGTGTACAACACACCTACGGTACCCTGAGGGTCCGAGTACCTAGTAATTGGCTACTTGGGGGTTGAGCAATAGTTGTAGGATAGATTTCGGATAAGCATGGGAATACGAAAATTCAGTATTTCCTTCGATTGGGGACCCTTGCACCACCTCATATGCATAGGAGTGTGGTTGTAAGTGCTGCAAGATCTCCATCATCCCTCCTTGGACCTGTGGGGGTCGACCTTTCCAAAAGTAAGGCAGCGATGATGAAGAGAGCATGGAGGCAGAGAAGCGCTTTGCAAGGTAGCAAGGGTTATGGTCTAAGGTTTATGGTTTAGAGCTGGTTAGGGTTGAGGCTTTAGGGCTGAGGGTGCAGATTTTGTGTCTCGGCTGTGGTGCCGATGGTCTTACAGGTGAGGGCTCACCTAGGCATGCAAAGGTCAGTAGGATCTAGGGTCAAGGTGTAAGGTTGGGGCGAGCAGCCAGGGGTGACCTGGGAATAGAGCTATTTCGCGTCAGGCTTTCGGCGGCCAAGGTTCACTTTGCACCTGGGCATGCTTGACGGCGCCCAGGGAGCAGGGTAGAGTGGCATGGCCGGACATGCGCTCTGGCTGCAGTCCAAATGCAGGAGACTTGTCCCACCGATCGCGTCCAATCGTCAGCTGGAGCAGCAGCTGCAGAGTGCCGGCCTTGCCGCCTTTGCCGCCACCAACTGGGCCCCCCCAGACGATGATGCTGCACCGGGTGATTGCTTCTCATAGTGATAGCATTTTCGGGCTTGGTTAGGAGAGCCCACGCAGGTCCGGGAAGTGTTTGCAAACGGTTTGACGTTGCAGCCCAGGCCCATCGCATGCGGGGGCCCCCATCCCGTTTCAGCCCTGTCCATGGCTTGCCCTTCAACTCCGCGCACACAGTGCGACTTCAGCAGCTTATCTCCTATGGCACATAGTTTTTCTTTTTGCCCCTGTAATTCATATCACATGTCTATTTCAGTGCCCATCCTATCTCTGCCGAGCCGAGCTGTATCCGCAAGCGCCGCTCAGTCGCCTACGCGAACTTGAAGACACGCGTAGTGTGGCTGGCAGGCAGTACATCAACCGCTCACGGCGCAGCGCCATCGCGTCGAGGCGGACAAGGTCCGCGAGTGGTAGGACCCACCTGCCCCTGGGTCCTTGGCGGAAGCATTCGCGTCTGTGCAGGACACGGGTGACTATTGCTGTAACAGTACTAGTCGGCAACCAGGGCTACCAGTACTTTGTGCCCTAAATGAACCTGTAAGCCTGCAACGACTTAGGGCTGTAGGGCTCAGGGCTTAGGCCCCTAGACCCTGAACCATACCTCTAAATGTTCCCAGCTCACCCTTCAAGGAGCTCGCAAGGAGCTCGACCGCCGCATCGCTCGCGATTCTGCACTCCATCGAGTCCCTATTTGCTTTGTCCAACCCCAAGCTTGTCAGCCACGCGCAGTATGCCGCGCATGCCGTGTTGGAGTCTGGGCTTTTAGAGTGTGCAATTGTTCTTGCTTCCGCTTTTGCCGTAGCTTTGAGACAGGTTGCTCTTGAGATTTCACTGGTGGTCGAGATGAAGGAGACGCATCGCGTCGTCCAGTGGCCCACCCCTCCCATCACCGGCTGCATGGACGTCGCTATGGCTAAAGCAATGGGCAACGACGAGGTCGAGAAGGGCAAGGGGCAAGGACAAGGGCAATTCGAAAGCAGCCCTGAACCTTGCCGGTTCTGCCACTTTCCGTACAGGAAGTCCTTGTGTGGTAGATGGACCGCATGTCTTATCCCATTCAACAGAAAGTTGCTGGGGGGGTGAAAGCAGCCCTGAACTTTTCCGGCTTTTGCAAAATGTGAACAATGCTGCTGACGAGAACCTGCCAGATGTAGTCCATTTTCCTCTTGAGCTGACTGAGGTCTGGCGCTCATGGGCCAGGGGGGCGCAGAGAGCTGTGAAAGTCGTACAGTACCTGGTGCATGTTCTCATTGTGTGTGTTCAACGTTGCCACCCGCTGCCCATTGATCTTGCGAAGACTCTTGGGTGAGCTGGTTGGGACTGTGGCACTGTTGCAGCCATTTCTCGCAAGTTTTCAGCCTCGAGCAATCGCTATTCACCTTCTGTGTTGCCGAACAGGGTTCCAGGATCAGCAGCCTCTCAGTCGCAGGTAAAGCTGTTCTGGTCCGGACGCAGCGTACATGTTGATGAAAGTAATTTCTTCGCTCAATTGCTCAGGCAAGCATGGCCACCTCCGTGACCATCGACCGTGCATTCATCTGTGCACTCGGCGACACCACCGCTCGCGATGAACGAGCGCCGGCCTTGCAGAAATGGCACTTGGATAGGATGGGGCCACAAACTTTGGCAGGCCTGGTTCACAAGGAGGTCGGTGCCGCGAAGTCCGACGGGGCCCGTGCCATCATGGACAACTGTTGGCGCTTGCCCAGGCTGGCCCAGGCCCAGGTTCTCGAACAGAACTTGGTTTGCGAGTTCAATTCCTGCAGGGTTTAATGACCAGCCAGTCTCACATTATCCCCATATAACCCCAATATACCCTAAACCCAATCTTGACACTAAGTCTTTTGTCGGGGGTCCGCGGCGCGCGACGGAAGGAAGCCAATCAGCCCAAGGATGAGAAGATGGCTGCCTGGCGCGGGGAGCTCTTCTCCGTCGCAAAGAAGCACTTCTGCAACAAGAAGCTGCTGCCGTTGATACACAACACTTGCTGCGGTCGCTGCCGACGGCGCTGCTGTTCCATAGCGTGTCAACATTGCTCTTCAGCACACTGCTAGTGTAGGAGCCCAAAGAAGAAGAAGGTCGCGGACCGACTACAACGGCTCCACTTCACCAAAGTGCCAGCCCAGGATGCTCGGCGACTGTATGGACTTAAGTCCTGGTCGGTAAATGCCGACTACATATGGGAGGCCTCTATTACCTCCAATGCATTTTCCTCGTAGTACGGGCTCATAGTGTTATCTGAATGGGCCCCGTTACTACCCCCACTGCGCTTTCGTCATAGTATGGGCTTCATATTATCTGGGTGGGTCCTTGTACCCCCGATGCACTCTCCTCACAGTCTGGGGTTCGTAATGCATTTCTGTCATAGCATGGGTTTGGTATTATCTGGATGGGCCCAACTATTGCCCCATAAATTTTCCTCATAGTACTGGCTTAGTATGTTTTGGGTGGGTTCCTGCACTACCCCAAATGCGTTTTGCTCATCGATGGGCTTAGTATCGGCTGGGCGGGTCTCTTTACTACACACAATGCATTTTCCTCATAGTATCAGCCCCTTTACTACCCCCAGCGCATTTCTGTCATAGTATGGGCTCGGTATTAGCTGAGTGGGATTCTTCCGTTGCACTGCCGTGGCATTTTCAGGGTGGGTCCCTGTACTACCCCCCTATGCATTTTCCTCATAGTGGGCTTGCCAGTACTGTACGAGCGGTCGGTGGGCAGTGAGGGCTGCGTGGGTGGGGCCTTTTTGGGCTCGCATTCAATACATGAAATACCTATCCATCCCTACCAAAATCCACGTAGGAGTTGTCGGTGGGCGGGCGTGGGCCGTTTGTCGCGTGTGGGGGGTTGGGGCCTCATTTGCCTCGCATTGATACCTGTCCATCCCTACCAAAGTTTGTGGGCAGTGAGGGCTGTGACGTGTGGGCTGTGTGGGGGGTGGGGGGGGGGTGGGGGGGGGTTGGGGCCCTCCTTGGGCTTGCGTTAAATACTTCTCCATGACCTAATCCACATACGAGCGGTGCGTGTGCGGTGTGGGTGGTCTGCAAGTTGCCTACCGCATTCCCGAGCAGAAAACACAAGTAAACTAAGCTTCACGGGCGCCGCCCCCAGGGGGTCGGCGGATAGGGTACTCAAAATAGACCTCAATGAAAATGGTAATAAACCCCACACAACTGCCATGCTCAAAATCTCGAGTACCCTATCATCGGCTACTTGAGGTTTTGGGCTTGTGGGGAACCTTAAACCACAGACAGGCCACAGCGGAGCATTCGGCAGCACAAGTTGTCGAAGAGCCTGCAGCCGATGATGGCAGTGAAGACCACAATGACTACGATCCTTTCGTGGCGACCTTAGTGTGTGGGCGATTGTATGTCTATGGGTTTGTGATCTAGAGTCATCATTCTAGTCTTGATGATTTTGTATGGTCCTTAGAGTGTACATAGGTGGCAGTTCAAGGATTTCTCGAGGATTCAAAAGCTTCCGTAAACACCAAATAGAAACCCCGATATATTCTAACATACTTTACAGAGGAGTCCTGATTTTCGGAAGCCCAAGCCAACATATGGGGTTTATGCTTCAGGATTATCAGCACGGGCGCAGAACCGAAAACATCAGCCTCCGGAAGCTAATCACGACTATTAATACACTATCCTGCAATACCCTACGTACCGGAAACCTTGGGAATCATGGCCTCGTACTAAACTAAAATCATTCAGGGCTATGAATAGTAACAATCAACGTGGGCGTTGGTATCAGGACTTGGCCCATGACAGAAGTTCGTAAAAACGTGTGGATCCTCTTAAACAGGCCGCTATTACCCTCGCCAAAGTAACATGGAACCTCGCAGCCCAATTGGCAGATGTTCAAAAGACAGGATCGCCCATGCTAGTTTTGAGTGGGCAAATTTCAAAACTGTAGCGCGAATACTGTCCGATTGCAGCGTAGGAGTGTCTTCATACTTTATAGTGGTGGTGTGAAAAGTTTTTTTTGCAGAAAGCTTTGAATTTGTTTGGAGTTCTCAAGACAAGGACAAGCAAAGCAATGCTACTCATGTCAAAGATGAGTTTGAAGGGTTTCGGAGTTCGAGCGCCTATTCACTTGGAACACATATGCAACTCGCGTAGGCCCTAAGACACTGCTCATAAGCCCTAAACTGCGTGGCTGCGTGACTGATTCTCACTCCCACTCCTGCAGCCGTAGAAGCAGCCGCAGTAATTTCATTCAGTGGTTCGTACCTCCCAAAACACCACCATGTCCACACACCACGGTTTTCGGATGTTTTGGGGCTTGTGCCCGTTCAGGGTTCAGGGCATTAAGGCTGATGATGTTTCTGTTATTTCAAACACAGAATTGAAGTCCTCAGAAGCGAGTTGTGCCCATGTGTTCCATTCTTCGTCTCTGGACATGCTGTGGATGGACAAGATCCATGACCCCATATACCCAAACCCCAGGAATTTAGCGTTACGTGGTGTCACAGTATTCTTCTACAGGGTCATGCAGGATTTTGCCCATCAACATCATAGAAAGGGGTTCCGTTGCATAGAACTTTTCTCAGGTTTGCCACGTTTAGTCCAAGGCTCGCCCCATTGATCCACAGGTAGCTCCACGTTTGATATTAAACTCCAACATGACCCTCAGCACCTTCCTATTATGGCCCTAAACCATAAATTCCTAAGACTATGATACCTTGGGGAAGATGGTAGCAAAGCATATCAGAGCCATGCAGGGGTGTGGAGCATCAGCAGCATACGTTCCAGAGCTGGATCAGGCTCACCTCATATTGTTGATGGACAAACACTTGCGCAGGCTTTTATGTAAACGTAAACCTTCAGAACGATGGTACTATAGAATACCCAGCGTCATGCAGGATTTGGTCCTTCAACCGAGTCTACAGGTTTTGAGGGGTTTGTCTTTTCTGCTCAACACATCGTGTCTGACCTCAAACCTTGGTGCAAGGTCATAACTCGAAAGCTTTTCCGCACTTCACGACAACATTTTTTGAGTCCCAACGTTTGCAAACATTGCCAAGGCGTCAGTCGGCGGCGGCTTGCGCATAGCCCCACGTAAGCGCCGCGAGGTGCGGACTTAGGGGCATCTGTTTATTTCACTTCGTTGACCTCATTGCCAAAGTGGGGTGCTTTTGCCAAAGTGGGGTGTTTCTGATGGTAATCGAATGGGATGCCCCTAAACCCCAAATCCTAAATCCGAAAAAAAAATCCTTTCTGTTTGGGAGCCCACTGCTGCCAAGCTCCTTGCTCGTGTTCTGCAGGAAGTCTGGGCTGCTGTTAGGGAAGCTGAACTAAGTTACATACAATGACAAAGGAAACCCCATTACGTGCTTGCTGAACAGTAACCCTGACGGGTGTGTTTCAAGTTACCATGATACTGAACACATAGAAAGTAATGAGGTCTCGTTATAAGGATAACTTAGTTATTTTAAGTTCTTTAACAGCAACCCAGTGGCACATATCAGAGCTGCAGATGTCTTTGCCCAGGTGACCGTGAACCCTAAACCCTGACTCCTGTAAGTAAGCTCCCTAACTCGTTGCCTTGCCTGGTGCAGACCCTCCCCTCTTGCTCCTCCGTTGTCTGCTAGTTCCTGTACAGGTTTAGGATTTCGGGTTGATTCTTGCTTTTGCAGCAGGCGTCGGTCTATATCTGTCAAGCTTCGTAGCACTACAGCTCGAGTATCTTACGTAATGCCTTGGTACTTCGAGGGCGGGGGGAACTCGCTAAGTAGGTTAGTCATGGGTATGACTGGAATCCTTATGTCGCTTCCAGTGCTTTTCAACATACTTACTGAGTCCCCCTGACACTCCAAGTAAATCCTGACTGAAGCCACGGGGGTGAAGTAACTGTTCTTCATGCAATCCCCACCCCTAGTGTCCCAACATTGCCCCATTCCCTGAAACAACGCAAGTTTGTCTGCAGTTCATGAGCGATTGCCTTGCCATCTACCGGGCATTAACCCCAAAACTGTGCATGAGCAGAGCTGCAGGGAGGTTTATGGCTGGTGGGATGTAGGCTTGCTTCCGGTTATTTAATTAATTGTAAAGCTTGGCCCAGGATTTGGTGTAGAATCCGGAACACTTGATGCAGAACTCCAATGATGTTCCTTTGAAGGTTGTACACGCACGTGGTATGTCGTGCTGACTGTCGTTTGGCACTTGTATTGGAGTGGAGATCCTACGGTACAGAGCTTCGTCAGGATCACAATAATTGTTTATTGATATTATTGTTACAAGTCAATTCAGATGTATGACGAGACCGTGGACCATTGCGCAAGCTGTCAATTTTTTCTGTTGTATTGACTCCAGTTCCGTGCAGTATTTCTTTTTGTGATACTTCATTTCTTGAGCACTAGCACACGTCAGAATTTTTTATCGACGTGACTCCTTCTCTAAAACCTGCAATTATCTATGAAGCCTACAACACTACCCATGGAACCATGGTGTAACCCTTGGATAGCTTTGGAAGAGCCCTACCTTGTAAGGACCCATGCTTACTAAGCTCACTGATTTAGGAGTCCAGCTCTGAAGAAGATGAACTCTAAACACAGAACCTTTTACCTACTTATTCAGAATTGTTCCGGGCTTCAGAAGAACATGAGCCCTGAAGCATGAAACCCTATCTGCACCCCAAAGTAGGCAACATCGCGGCCCACACCCAGAAAAGGAGCCAAAAACCAATGTTTCTACATAGTTTGGGGTTCAGGCTAAACCCAGTCTTTCAGGTCTCCAGCTCAGAGGAAGATGAAGATCCTCCGCAAGAGGCTCAGGAAGAGAAGCCCGACTCGGAGCCTCCAGCAGGCAAGGTTATGTGAGGGTTATATCGGAGCCATATGAGAGATGTGGGAGTTATAAGGGCTTCGGGATGCAAGTCATGAGGGATGTTATGGTTTTTGAGTTTAGGGACAAGGGAGAACTCAATGGGAAGCGCAAAAGAAAATTGCATGAAACAGGGGTTATGTAGAGCTTTCTCGGAACAAGAATATTGGTCCTAGAATCCATGTACAAGTATGGTATACGGCACCCAAGTAGTTTTGAAGATGATTTTGGTCGGTCGCTATTTCGCAAGCTGCCATGTGTAGTGCAGGGCTGAGTTTCTGAAGATGCGGGCCCTAGGAATACTTGGGAGTTCTATCAAGAGTCACCTTAAAAGATTCTGTCAGGCTTAATTGGGTTTGCAGGGCTTTAAAGGATATGTGTGCGGTATGTCAGGACCCCAAGATGAGGTCCATACTAAAGGCGACAAGCCCAATGCCGAAACCTTCCCTGCTACTCCAAAGGCCCTTATTCGCCCAAACCCTCTACATGTAGACCGAATGCACTCAAAAAGTGAACACTCGTGTGGAGCAAAACCTGAAACCGCGATCGCAAGAGCTGATGCAGGATCCAGTTCCAGGCCAAAGCAGCCTAAGCACAAGGACTCCAAAAAGGCAGTTGAGGGTCAGGATGCAGGGTTTAGGGCCTGGCTTCACGCTAAGGGATGAGGTTTTAGTGTCGGGGTTTTGGGCTTAGGGTTTAGTCCCCAGATTTTAGGGCTTAGGTTTCGGGTCTGGGGCGGGGCTAGAGGTTCAGAATGTAGAGTGCAAGGACTGAGGCTTTAGCTGATGCTTTGGCCCAACCTAACATTGAAGCCCAATAGAGCCCTTTGGCAGTTCAATGTCTGCTTCCTTAGCATCTGAGAGGACGTAGTCAGTGGATTAGAACGTGCGTTCGAAGTCGACCACAATTAGGGGACTTACTAAGTCCCCTAGGACCTAAACCCTAGGCCGCAATGGTTGTGGGTCTTCGGAACAGGGTACCAAGACGTTCCTGTCATTTTGGACCAAGATGATGAGCGTGTGGACCGCCATGCACAGTCATTTTGTGGATGATATCCGCCATTGGTCCACTTGAGATCGTAACAGCCTACTTCACTCATATTGCGGGGAAAGATTGTACTATCAGTACATGGCCCTACTTAGTAGGGAACCGTAGGGGAACACATCATTGTTGGCGGAGCCTAAAGCTAAAGCCCGAGACGCAGGTGAAGCGCTTGCGCGGCAAACGTGGTGGTGCCAAGCATCGAACAAGCTGAGCACAGGCGCAGGAATCAAAAGACTGTTCACAAGCGGGGTTTCTCAGACAAGGTTACCCTAGGAAACCTGGGCACGCATAGGGATTATCCAGGAGCTTTCGGGGGGAATATGCAGATGTTTTGCTTGGAATTGAATCAAGGATGGCGAATTCTGAGCTTGAGGGGTTGTACTTCATCGACGGCCTCGTCTGGGCAGGGGAGACAACGAGGGATTATGCAAGGGGAACACGCCGGGGCATACAAGGCCTTTTTAGGGGTAGGATGTGAAGAAGTACTGGGAAGATTCGACTTCTTTCAGATACCCCCCCGATTGTCTGGATATGTGTCAAGTCTCCATATTTATATGTAGTCGAACTGACATTAAGATCTTTGTTCGGAGTCGTGCCAAAACCCCCACGGCTCCGGCCTACAGACTGCGAAAGCTGCCGACCTGTTCATCTTCCATCTGTATGACCTCACTGGTATCGTCAGGGTTCCCCAAGAGTCCATGAATATTCGGGGATTGTGGGTGTGTGGGTGTGTGTTTTTTCGCAGAGCAGGTGGTGCACCTTGAGAAACCCGAACACGTTCCTGTAAGAGTACTTTGGGGCCCACGTATAAATATTTATATGGGTACAGGACAAAACTCGCGGTCGTCATTCCAGTACATAAACCTTCCAGAAGTGGCCCAAAAACCTGAACCTCAATTCCAGGCTTGACAAGTCAAATTATCTTGGCAGACCAGAGTGACCTCGCCTGACCTCAACCCCATTGGTGGCTGATATGGGTAGTGATTCAACACTTGAAGTACTCAATAGTTGGTCTTATTCTGAGTTATCTCCGGAATCCACGTTGGCGCCTTCAGCGCAGACTACACCGCCCCGCGGACATTTCAGAGTTTCTCACAACAAGACCATGAAGTCCTCTTGGCAGATCCCATATCTCCCTAGGCCCCAAGGTGCCTCACCTGGAGCCTCATTGGCAATTATGTGGGCTCATGAGTAGAAGTTCCACTTTTCAGCCTTTGTTACACCACTGAACCAATGCCCCCTATTTTGAAGAATCACCTCCACCCCAAAACCTCCTCAACCCTAAACCATGTTCCATCAAGTGGGGCTCCCGTTTTTGGGCCCAACCCACCATTTGGGGCTCAGCAGTGTGTGTAGCTTGCGCTTCCGCGCTTTCTCTCTTCCCTCCGAAAAGCCCTTCCAGGCCAGGGTTTGGCATTATGTGTTTTGGGGTTCGGGGCTTAAGGTTTGGGATTCGGCATTGGTAGTCTGTTTTGAGGATTGGGGTTAAGACTTCCTTTTGGGGCTTGCAGGCTGCTGGCTTTAGGGTCCGGGGTTAGGAGCTTGACGTTTGCCGATTAATTTGAAGTTCAGAGGTTAAAGGTTTGGGGCTCTCAACATAACTTTGGATTTCTGCAAAAAACTCCCTACAGAATCTTGGACTAGAAACCATAAAGCTCCTATGTTCTGCGTACGGGAGTATCCATGAGTAGGCGGACCTCAATACGGACCCAACCATACTACAATCCTTTTTGCAGGACCCCCTAACGCCCTGCTCGAAAAGAAACCCAGGATGGGATGTGTGAAAACCCGAACCACTATAAACCACTACAAAACCCCTTCCCTTGTAATTCACCATTTTTTTTCAATTTGGTTCGCCATCCCTAAACCCTAACTGCTAAACTAGCAACCCAAGACCCTAAAACTTCTTGAATCCTGAGCCCTAGCCCCTAAACCTTAGCAAAACCGACTGTGGATGGAGGAAATCTTGCACCACTTAGGGCCCCCAAGCTTTAAGGACTTGAGGTTGCGCAAGATTTCCTCCATCAACAGCATCTTCCCAAAGTCAGAGCTTGGGCTTGCAATGTTTGAGACTTCAGGGTTCAATCATCAGAGGGTTTTGGATAACCCAAGCAAAGGCTCTTTGAAAGGAGCTATAGGGATAGATAGGGTTGAGAGTTTAGATTCTAGGGATAACATAGGGATGTATACGGTTTAGGGTCCAGGTAACCCTGACATCCAAATCATGACCTTATTATCGTCAAGTGATGGCTACAGGCTCCCTGGGGAGGGTTGGGGGTTCCCAAATCCTTTTCTGTCGACTTTGACCTCGAGGGTCCAAGTACCCGCATGATACTGGGGCTTCCGGTCCAAAATGCCACAAGCCGGATGGTATTGGGTAGATAAAACGCATTAAATGGAATGATTAATTGGATCAGGCTTGATGGTGTTAGGGACGGGAGTTGCAATTGATAATGTGCTCGAAACCTTCAGTGCGACCAAACCCTGAGCCCTCAACTTTGAATCCTAAAATGCTTCAGTGCAACAGCATTGCGATCCCAGGTCCAAAGCTCTGAACTGGCTTTTCGGGATCCCCTGCTTTGCCATCGAAGAAATACCATAGGTGCCTAGATAACTGTCAAGTTAAGTAAGGCTTGGGGTTTAGGGAATAGCAGAGAATCAAATGGAGAAGAAAATGGAAACTCAAATGTCTGGATTCCACGTATGATTATGTTACAGGGTATTCAAACCCAAACTGATATTGGTCATTATGTCGAACCTCTACACGCTTCGCCAGTGCACCTCAAAACAACAATCTTTGGTGATGCCGCTAAACCCTAGATGGTGTGGTTCTTCAGGTTCCTAAGATGCTATGGTAATGGCATTTGGGATGGTTTTGAGAATTACCTGTGCAATCTATACATAGTCTCTGTGCATCCCCTCCCAACCCACCAGGCCCATTCAACGGCGCCATGGCGTGCGAGAGGCCTTGGCTGCAAGCTTTTGGAGAAGCGCTGTAGGGTAGGATTGATCGCTTGGAAGTGCAGGCTACGGGTTCTGCTGCCTTTTCAAACCCAAGCCCTTAGTGTAGGAATCAGGATTCAGGTGGTTCTGGGGCTGAGGGTCTTGAGTCGTGCCTTGGGGCTTCAACTTGCAGAATTTGGCACTTCGGAAGGTGTTGAGAGAGCCTACTTTGGCACAAATGGTTGATGTACAAGAGGCTGTAAAGCCATCTACGTCTAGCATGTAGAAGTCTAAATGAGCAACTGCCTTTATTCTCGCGTAGGAGCCAAAATCAGGCAGAGATAGGATTGCTCAGTATCCTTACAAGGATAGGCCCCCCACAAAAAGATTGCCCAAAATGGGCGACTTACAACGGTCCCATCCACAAGCAAAGACATGGAGCATCCCGGCAAGGGATCTCAAAACCACAGCTAATCATACAGCATTTTCGTATACTTAGGGTCATGCCGGATTCTGTGCATTAACTATATTTGGCTCTGCCTGACAGCGGGCACTAATGTCTTGTAACTAAAATCAGGCATGGCTCTCACGCCAGGGTCAAGGTAAGAGGAGCTAGAATGGGATTGCATACAGGGCCCCATAGGCTCGTAGGATTATTGGTTTAAGGCTTTGGAGGAAGGTGAGGAAAATCATGTAAAAGTATCCCTGGAAATTGGATAAGATCACGACTCTGGGTTAGCCTTTGGGATATTTAAGTGTTTTTTCCCTCTTGGTGTTTGTTGCATGTTGGTTGATTTGCCAATCAAAATGCCAACAAAGTATGACAACGCAAATGACTCCGACCAGAATGTTGCCAACTGCTTCACAAAAGCGAGTCCTTCTCAAACCCTACACCCTGAGATCCTAAACCCCATAACCCTAAATCCCAAACCCTGAACACTAACACCGTACATCCCACACCCCGAACCCCAAAACATGACAGGACCTCGCTCATGCGCGAGGATGAGCACAAGATGGAGCTGTCTTGGGCTCATCACCGCCTCAGCTTGAGTCTAGGGTTTTGTGTTTGAAGTTTAGAGTCTATGGGTTTAGGGATTCAGGGTCTTGGCGTCCATGTAATTAAGGTGGTTAGTCACAAAGGTGCAGCTTCCAAACTTCCACAATTTTCAGTAAACAGGCTTCGGGGGAACACGAATTTTGCATTGACCCCTGCTGAAATACTCAGCGCTGGAGATAGTCGGACCCACCAACACGGACTATACATACATGGTGCAGAGCCGTTAGCCGGGAACCCTTAACCCCTGAAACCCTCAGTCCTAACATGAGCTGTAGCCTAAACTCCTTAAAGGGGGTTATATAGGAGATTGTATTGGAGTGTGTTAGTACGGGGGATACTAGAAGTTTAGGCAATGGCTGACATGGGATTGCAAAGTGGCTCTGCAAACTAGATCCCATCAGAGATCATGGTATGTATACCCCTTTGGGGTGCTAGATATTGACGGCTTTGGGTATGGCTACTCTACGTGCAGCGGTTCTTATCTGGCTCTGTAGATACGAGCACCCTAACCCCTAAACCCCCGAAACCCTGAACCACCTCTAAACCCTAAATCCTTAATCCTTAAACCCTAAATCGCTAAACCCCAAACTCCAATCATGGCCAAGGTGCGGCATTGAGGAGACTGCTGTGCGGCATGGTTTCGTGCGCAAGGTCCAGGGCTTTTGGGGGCCAAGAGTGGACCATAATCAGGATTACGCGTGGGGATTCCAAAATCAGAGGTCCCTCGTTGGGTTCCCATGATCCATTTAGGGCACATTTTGAGTCTGCCTGAAACATACCAGAGGTCGGCTTAGGCATCTGGACGTAGAAACATTATTGGTTTCCAGTTGTCTTGCAGTGGGCAGCATTTTGCAGGAAGGGTATGGAATTTGTGAAGCCCAAAAACGACGGTAGATATATGACATGACCCAAGCTTAAGCCCAAATGAGAAGCAGAAGATTTCGGATTCTGGGTTGAGGGTTTGGAGTTTGGGGTTTGGTAGGCGTTGATGGTCTAAATACCCAAGACACCCACTGTAAACCTCAATTCTTTTTTACATGATCCTTAAGCTTCAGCCCTAAACCCAATAATCCCAAACAAGCCCTCAAACAACGCGGAAAGGTGTACTCCATTCTTTGCGTTCAGCTCGCCAAGGTCTCAGCTACCGTATGCATGCTGCGTTTTATTTGGACTGTCTGGTTTACCAAAGAGTGTGTGGTTTTGCTGGGCTG